CTTCAATAAAATAATATTTTCCATCACATCACTAATTTTTTCTTCTTTTTCAACCACACATTTCCCATCATATCACTATTCAAAAATCAATTCTTCCCCCAAAAATCCCTACCAAACAGGCTCTAAATGTAATCCCAGCTACAACCTAGGACAAAGCTGGACCAAGTAGCTATGGGACCAACAACTAGCTGTACAAGAAGTAAAAGATAACAGGCTTAGGAGGCCTTATATGGATGCGATACCCTTCTACACTTACCATCAATCACATGGCCATAATACTATAACTATAGGGATTAGCACCCAAACGGAGCAGATCCCCGTATGCTTCGGAGAGATAAATGCCTTCCACGTGAGAATCTGTCTACATTAAGGCCTGCCAACAGCCTAGACAAGAGGCTTAGAATCAAAGAGTTCGACGGAAATGCTTAGAATGCTGGTCAGAGAATAGTAACAGATCATCAAAAATTGTTTGGCAAGTTTAAGACTTGAGAAATTTCGCAAAGGTAAAAAAGTCATGGAAATGGCTAAGGATCCCTTTTTATATGTAGAGAGGATAAACCACAATCGTTTAATCAACAAGAAATTATTTGGAATGTCCATCTGTCTAGCCCATTCGGATCATTGAAGGCAAAAGACGCCTCTTTAAATTTGAATGACAAGCTAGGACTAAGATGTGACCTTCACGCATGCACTAAGCATGTCACCTTGGATTGCGATGCCTCAGCCGTCGATTATGGGAAAGACGCAACATCTCAAATCATTTATCGCGCGTCCCACCAATGTCTTATAGTGTCAACAATCTGTCTCTACGTCACATCACTTCTCATATGACAAGTCCCAAAACATGGATAATGTACCTCAACCCAAAAATTTCTAGCATGATATAAATATCCATACCCGAACTTAAGAAAACATTATTATGCCTTGTCTAGATAGGCTCCTAGGAAAGACCACAGCCATGTCACAAATAAAACCAAGCTCAAAACCATCCTACTTGGACTAGCTGAGGCGCCTTCATAGTTGAGGTGATGAACTCCCTGACCCCTATGAAGAGGTCGAACCTTTATCGATGAGACAAGGCTATGTGAAGCGTTGCAGTACCGTCGGAAGGCACGCGTCCACCTCTCCCACCTTCAAAGAAAACTATGTGTTCTTAACGATTTGTCCAAGTGTTCAGGGCAAAAACTACGTGGACTCAAGTCGAGCAGGGATCTGTTGCCATATCAGCCATTCAAAAACTAAGGTCTACAATTTCAATTCTTTCTTTTTCTAGATCTTGCTAAGAGATTCAAAGTTTTGTGGAGCTGGAATTGTTTGAAGAAGTTTGTGTTGACGTACTTTGAATAGTTCTTTATGCTGGACCCTTTACTTGATTATGGGAGCTTTAAGGTCCAATCTGTTTTATTCCATGAAGAGATGATCGTAATATATTTGATTTCTCAAAACCAATTTCAAGTTAACGTGAAATTGAGATCGAAAGTGACCCATTTAAGCTTCAGAATTATTGGAGGCATTGAAATTTGAAATTTGTGAGTGAATTAAGTCATTTGTCCCACATTGGGAGATAAAATGATCTCCAAAAGGAACGATATGCACTTTTTTTAATAAAGTATTAATGTGATCAAACTTCATTTTCAACTACACATTTGAATAGATCAACAAGTAGTATTCACTTATCCATACTCATTTTTGTTCCTTTATAAGCTTAACCGTTGAGAAATTCTTCCCTTACGGAGGCGAAAATGCAGCAACCTTCTTCATGCCTGGAACCACTGAATCATTTCTTCAAACACTATGCTTGTCCATTGTTTCCGAATAGGCCATCGAGATGACTCACATCGCCCCAAGATTTAATACTCCATTTGTGCTCATCAAACAAGTGAAAAACATTAACAGAAGTATTAAGAACATTCTCAGCAGACATCCCGTTTGAGCCCCGTCTATGAAGTTCTTCGATGGTAGCACCATGCGTGACTACAACTACTCGTTCGCCTCTGTGTTTCTTCACAATTCTCTCTAACGCTGACGTACAGCGTTCATACAGTTGATTAAGACTTTCTCCACCGACAGGAATTTCTTGATCCCTACTACGAGATAAAAATGCTTTGTGAGCCTCAGGTCTGGTTTTGGCTGCTTCGTGGAACAGAACACCATGAAGATCACCCATATGCCTCTCCCTCAAGTCTTGATCTTTAAAAACCTCAATCACACCACAGCAATTTGCTATCATCTCGGCTGTATGATACGCTCGTTTCAAGTCCGATGAGTATACTGCAGATATTTTAGATTCCTTTGATATTCGCACAGCCACTGCAGCCGCTTGCTTCCTCCCAACATCATTTAAGTCCACATCGATCTGCCCCTGAATTCTTCGATCAGCATTCCATTCAGTTTCACCGTGACGAATAACAATAATCTCGGTATAATCAGGTGCAACAGCTTCAATTTCACCACCTCCATCACAATCAGGTTGAGGTGAAGTCAAATCCCTGGAAGTGAGATCGGCCATAAAATTACGATGGATCCAGATTTTGCCTTGGATATTGTCTACACGATTCTATCCAAACCTCTTTAGGATGGGAGGATTGAAGAAATAGAGAAGAAAAGGAACAGAGTGAGATTGGAAAAAATAATATATGACGCTTTCAAAATGCCAGCCATAGTTAATATAGGAGAAAAATCATCTAAAAAACTTATATCTTGCTTTTGTATAACAACTTGGCATAAACAACCTACCTCAAAATAATTTAAAAAGTTACTTCAACGGCTAATTTGGTGTGGTGGTCGTTGTTTATATGTTAATCAAAGAAAAGGGCAAGTTGGATTAATATTTAAATTGCCGGAACCTTGACTAGTAGTATAATGATTTTGAAAATGGTTGTTAAATACACTGCATTAAATTTAGAATCGTGTGCATACTTCACAATTAGGTACTAATATATTATGCCAAGATGGAGTATTGAAGTCGTGTATGTTTATTTTCCATTTATTTTGAAGAACAAGTTGGAATGAATCAAATATTCCATTTTTCATTGTGCCTCATGTTTCTCGTACGTCCCACCCAAATATACTTAAATTAGCTTACTGACTTGATCACCGGAGTACTCAATGCCTCTTCTCCCACCTTCGAAAAAGATCACGTGCTTCTAAACATTTGTCCAATTGTGAAGGAGATAGGCTACGTAGGCATGAGCGGAGCGGGATCTATTGGTCAGATCACCAATGCAAAAATCGAGGTCAACTTTTTGGAGGATGTCCAATTCTCATAGCCTTGCCCTCATGCAGTGGGCCTCGCTTAAACAACAACTCAGCTTTATCAAAAGCTACCCAATTCTGAAACACTTGCCCTCAAATAATGGCATTACCTAAACAAAGCTGCCCAATTCTCAGTCTCTCCCCTCGAGCAAGGGCATCGCCTCAACAACAGTTCAACTTTGTCAAAAGATGCATCTCAGAGCCTCACTCTCAAGCAAGGACCTCAACTCTGCATCACTAACGTTTGCACAAGCTGCAATAAAAAGTCTTCACACGCCATCAACAAAGTCCACGCGTTATAAAAATATCCATTTTCGACTGGGAACCTAATTATGTTATATTGTCTCTCCATAACTAAAGGGTCATCTCAGCAACACAATTTCAATCAACACGAAGCACTCCTCACCAAAGTGTTACTTCTCCATTCACAGATCATCACATAAAATGGATAACCTACCTCAACCTAATAAAGTCCTCTAGTCACCTATCAAGTCATCAGTCTATTCCTTACATGCCAAGCCTCAGTTATAGGGTAGCTACTTTTTAGAAACATCAATGGTATGTTCTCTTTGCCGTTTTTAGGCTATTTTCAGTTTTCAATTTTCGAAAATACGGAAAACACGTTCACTTACCTATTTTCAGAAACGAAATTCCAAAAACGAGTTTAAAATTTATAAAGAAAACGGAAAACATCAAAAAAGTCGTTTTGGCTGTTTTCAGTTAAAACCAAGCTAAAACTTCATTTTTTTCATTTTTGAAAACAATTTTTCAAAATGAGAAAAAAAAACGATTTTTCAATAATCTCAAAATGGATACTCAAAACACAAAACCCAAAATGAATTCAAAACTCAAAGCTAAAAACTGAAGAGAACATCCCCTAAATGCCTTAAGCCTAGGATTGGTGGAATGATACCTATAGCCTTCAAGATGAGACTATGTGTCTTTTTATCCAATGGTAAAAATTCTATCCTTCTACTATAAAAGTTCACACTTAGCGTCAATTGAAGATATTACAATTTTACACACTCAAGTAATATTGCGCTCTCTCTCTCACACACACATTTCACTTGCATATCCACCCGATACCCAAACACTATTATGGCTCACGCTCTCATACGTCTCACAACAAAATATATTTGAACTAGTTGACTGAAATTACCATAGGAGTGATAGCAACCGCCTTTCCCACATCCGGAGAAGACCCCGTGCTTCTAATTATTTGTCCAAGTGTTGAGGAGATAGGTTATGTGGATGTGAGTGGAGCCAAAATCTATTGGTCACATCACCTGCGCAGAAACCGAGGTCAACAGTATGTACATATGGGACTAGAGGCGCCAAATTGGAATATTTTGTTAACTAGAGGACTAAATTTATGTATACGTTGGAACCAAAGTAAAATTGGTCAAAGTATATGTTGGGCACCAAATTGAATATTTTTTGACCAATTAAAATCACGTCTGTGAGTATATATATATATTGAGAGATCCTCATCTGGTAACCATTTACAATTAACATAATTTCCTTCCAACTAACCCATGTACCAAATCCATTTTGCATTTCATGGATCAAAGAGTTTTCTCCATTTCACATTTGGAAAGGCTTGCATCTTGACCAGTCGATAACTGAGGACATAAAATATCTCTAAGAAGACTTGTGTGGTCAATATAATCTGTGAAAATAGCAGCCGTTTCCTCAATTTTTGCATTCTTTTTTACTGATGTCTCCAACCTTCGTTTCTTGATAATTTTATTCCTAATCTTTCTTTTATTGGCAATCATTCTCAGTGATGCATTCCATCTAAAATGCAATTGACAGATTTTCTAAAATTCAGTTAAGTGTGCCTTAACATAAATTCTAGATGGAATATGTCAGTTGGGATGACGAACCTTAATAAATGAAAAATTAGGACAAACACTGCCAAAAAAATGTAACTTGGGACTGTTATCAATTAATTTTACAGATGAGTGGCGAGGATATTGACCGGCTTTTGCTGTTTTGTTGGAATGTGGAATTAGAATTACCAAAAAATTAAAAAAATTCTTTAATTCAATGAACAAGATCGTTTAGACGTTCACGTGTGTGTTATATCAAGAATAAATGCTTCAAATTTTTATCTAAATTCTATGGTCAATTCTTGAGTTCATTCTGAATCACGGACTTCTAGTTTCTTTCTTTCTTTTCTATTTTTTTCTTGTTTTATCACGAGTTTCTAGCTTTTAATTCCACGAACTTAATACTCCAAGCATCCAAGTCTTCTATTACATTCTCCAAAGTCGAGACTACACCAGTAGGTGGAAACCTTCTTTTAAACTAATTCTTAGACTAGACAATAAGAAAAATAATTTTTCATAGAGATAAAATAATTCCAATCCTTGTACAATAATAACTCCAATTTCAAATACAAATCTTAATTAAAATCCAAGTAAAAGTTTTAATTAAAGTTCAAATCCAATTGGTTTGTATGTACATGTATAGTTCTAAAACTTCAATTACAATTAAGTACACAACTTTCATGGCAATTACAATTAAGTAAAATTTTTTATTGCAATTACAATTAAGCCCAAAACTATCATAATTACCGTAATTAAATCCCAATATTTATAGAGCAGCCTTAGGGACCCGAACGGACATATATTATCCAAACTCCAATAATTAGATCCCGTCTAGTCGACCCTTTACCACCCAATCTCATAATTAGTCTTTTTTTTTCCGCTAAAGGCAAAAGACTGAACTCCAGAAATTTATAATATCACTAAAGTCAATTAATTTGTAATACATTTCACTGACTTATCGTATATGTATTCTATCCCCATTCGAGATTGATAATTAGGTATGAGCATAAATGATTGTTTTCGCTTCTGATTGTTCTCATTAACTTAAGTAACATTTTCTTTCATGGTCCCGTGAGCAAAATACAGATGTCAAAATTTAGTCGTCGCTAAATATTGAGCTCATATTTTAAACGTTCAACAGAAAATAATTAAGTAGTCACACTACACATTTTAAGGCTACTATTCCCGACACGAATTCATATTCTCTACTTTGCTCATTCTAAAGTTCCCAACTCACCGAGATATTTGATCAATCAAATTAATTTCGCTCATTGGTGAATAAAGGAACTATTAAAGTCACGAAAAGATATAAATAACCATGTCAAGGAATTTTAAAAAATATACGGCTATCAAGTGGAATTTAATTCTCTAGATGGTCATGCTATATAATTAAACTCGACACGTGGTCCATTCAATACACTCTAAGTGTATTGGTGTCACTTTAACTATTTATGTGATGAAGACAAATCACAACCCCCAATAGTAACAAATTATTTATGATCAAAATATAAGTTGTGTCACATTGTACTTCTCAACGCAAGTACCCAACTTATATTATCACAAGTGATTATAAAGGACTTTAATTTGCATGCTCAATAATAAATAAATGCAATAAATAAATAAAATCACAATTTATTTATTATAAATTATTATTTTATAGCAAAATATACTGTATGAGCACACTACCCAACAACGCTCTCTTAAGTTCGTTAAACGAACCCATGCCACTATCACCGAACATTTCAAAGTTGAAAGATCATCATTTCATGTGCAAATCCTGCCCATCACTAGCGAATATTTATAATGCAAAATCACATGTCCTTTTGATAAAATTAGATAGGTGGAGTTGTGAAACTCTTCATTAACTCAACCATATCTAACAACGTCGTGTTTCTTCTTTCTGAAATGTCATTTTGTTGGGTGTACTAGGCGCATTCAATTAAGAAACAATAACATTTTTTTGTCAAGTTGTCCCTGAATTCTCAAGAAAGATATTGGCCTCCCCAATCCGATCGAAGTGTCTTAATACCCTTACCTAATTGTTTCTCAATCTCAGTCCAATACTCTTTGAATTTTTCAAAAACATTTGAGTTTTGAGTCATTAGGTAGATGTATCTGAATGTAAAGTAATCTTCTATAAAGGTGATCAAATACTCCTAGCCCCTTCTCGCATGTGTATTCATAGGTCCACATACATTAGAATGAACTAGTTTTAATATTTATTTTTTTTTTAGCTCTATGTCCTTTTGATTAAAAAAGATCTTTTGGTCATTTTGCTTTCCAAACAAGAATCACAAATTGGTAATGGTTCAACCTTAAGTGTGTTAAGTGGACCATTTCTAGCCAATCTTTGTATCTTGTTAAGGTTACTATGTCAAAGTCTAAGATGCTAAAAATATGTATCACTAGTATGATATGACTT